TCCAGCTGCAGGCTATGCTGTCTCTTATCTGACCATTCCCTTGGCAGCATCTCTTTGCCCATCTCCCAAGATCTTTCCCACATATCATTATGTGGGATTCCACAACCTACTAGTACAATAAATGATCAAGCAGGAAGCAACATCTGAGTTCCAGGAAAAAGGATGGATACAGGTGTGTCCATGCATAAAAAAAACAGGTGGAGTTTCAATTGCACCATCGTGGTCACCACCTTCATGTTTTTGACCACGCCTTGCAAACACACCTCATTTAAGGGAAAAATATGAAGGTTCCACATCTTGGATGTAATTCAGTTAAAGCAGGAAATGTTCAGATCTAAGAGAAAGACACAAAAGCTTAAGGACAAGGTTATCATCCAAAAGAGTATCATTTCAGAGGAAAAGGCTCGAAGAACAAATTTTTCAAAATTTTTCAGGGGTTGGCTGCATTTTGCTAGTGAGGGAAGGTAAAGAGTTTTGACCTTTTCTACATGGAGTGGGGGCAGAACAGTGATAGAGATTTGTCAAATACAGCATGATGTGGTCATGTAGGAAAGCGAAAAACATTTATCGACCCCTAAAAGTGGCTTTTCCAACTTTGTGGCATTTGGGTGTACCAGAGAGAAATAGTTCTAGAATGGAGGGAATCTAACAGGGCTGAGTCGAAATGACATTTAAGTCAGCAAACATACTGAAGAATAGGAAAATGACTCTTTTGGATGGGGTGGAGACATTTAACAAGACATTTCTCATCAAAGACTGTCAATTTCCTCTTCTAATAAAATCACTGCTTTGGACAGTTCCAGCTTTAAGGAAGAGCAACTGAACCTCGAGACCAAAGATTCATAGCATTCTAAACCCAGATACATTCACAAGAAATGCAAGCATGAACAGACACACGTAAGCATCGTTTGTTACAAGCTGGTCTCATTCAAGTGAGAAAATGCAGCTGCTTTCCTTTGATCCAGTGCACCCTCTGGGGATCGTCAGTTGCCACTGCTAAACCAAAGAATGCAGAACTTGCATAAAAACGGTAACTAATGTCCATGCTCCAACAGAAAAGGAGAAACTTAGGCAATCGTCTGAAACTAAGTACTCTCAAGAAACATTGGATTTTAATTCCCAGCATACTGAGAATTTAGGGAATTGAAATCCAAAAGTACTGGAATACTGGGCTGAAAAGTAAAACAGCCCCACCTCAAAGTTTTACAAAATACCACGGTTTGATTTTGTCTGCCAAGTTAGTTATTTCTCAGCTCCAGAACAGTTTCTTCCAACCTATGCCTGAATACTTTTTAGCATATTTGATTGCCAAGTCTAGTTTTTAAGAGATTGAAATTCAGAATTTGGTGCAATAGTTCATATGGATTTCTTATACCATGAAAAGGCATATAAATATTCAAACATGTGTTTCTTAGATTTAATAATCAACTCAAGAAAATCATTTGATTTAATGCCTAAATACATACAAAGCCTCCAAGCTATTATATTCTTCTGGGTGTGTTTTGTTTTAGGGATGTGTAAAAAGCTAGACCTATCATTTTGGAAATGTTTCAAGCTTGAATCAGCTGTTTTGAGCTTGAAAAAAAAATCTGTTTTGTGTTTAAAATGTTTTTTAAAAATAATCTGAACAGCTCCTTTCATGCTTGAAAGGGGAATCTGCTTGGAGATTTTGAGCTCTTACAGCAGAAATTGGAAATGCTTTTTCAAACCTAGAAAATATGATGGGGGAAAAGAGAGCAAACTTTGGAGCACGCTGTCCTATAAACCAAAGCAAGAAAAATATCAATGACTTCTGGGAGTCAAGAAGACGAAAGAGGTAGGTAATATTAACAATTGAGCAAGCCCCATGCATTTGTCGAACAGATCTGATGTCCTGGAGTGGGACCTGCAGAAATTGAGAGTCAATGATCAATAGAACTTTCTTCTATCCTACAAGAAGAATCGGATATCAAGGACTTCCTTGTTCCAACTGATCCAGATCCAGTTGTCCATTCAGCAACTGCAGCCATGCCAGAAGGAAGCCGGGAGGGCAATCTTTCAAATGGCGGGGTTACTGATCTCATACCTACGCAATGTCTGCTAATAGTTCAGACTGTAGTATCAATCATTGAACACCTAATGGTGGTTCAGGAAAAGGTGGGCTCTCTGAAAGAATCTTTTATAGTACTTCCTCAAATTTATCAAAAGAAGCTAGTAGGTGCTGCAGCAGTACAAAACTTCAGTACCATGATTGTCTGTAGCGTATGGTCAAAAAAGTCAAGAGGGTGGCCATGATGGTGCAATCAAAGCTCTGCTTGTTTTCTTAATGTGTGTTAAAGCTTTGATCTGGGAGTTGAAGTCCACACATCTTCAAGTGGCCAAGGTTGAGAAACACTGTCTTAGCACCTTGTGCCATTGTCATGCCACTCACCGATTTGCTTTCCCCATGTCTCCCCGGGGGTCGCAAAGGTTATGATGGACTGAGTTCCTCATTGATACACTTTGATTTGGGGAAGAGCAGAACGGGAGGCTAAAAGGGACAGGCTCGAAGAATAACAACGCCCCCTCCCCACAGTGACCCTGATGGAATGGCCCTAATGCTGGAAAGGGGAAGGGAGGTCAGAGGACCTCAAGCGAAAGGGAAATCTATCTGGCAAAGGTGCAACTGCCAACAGCTCATAATGATTGAATTTCCCTGATGCCAAGTAAGACTGACTCTGGAATGCCCCAAGAAGATACTACAGTATTGCCACCGTTGCTCCAGTTGGTCCTTCAGAGAATAACCTGGGGGTATATGTGAATTCTTAACACATACCCCCAGGAGCTTCCTTGACTCTTTGCTCCTGATGGCCATCTCTTGGAAGGTGCTGATGGAAAGCAGAACTTAACCACACCACTTCCATAAGTCACGAAGGACAATACAGGTAGTCCTCCCTTACAGACTGCAACTGGGACCAGCAACTCTGTCGCTAAGTGACATGGACATGAAGTGAAATGTCACATGATTACGCCATCTAACATTAGGTCCACCTACGGTTGAATCACACACGGTTATTAAGTGCGATGTCACGTAACTGCAACTTGAGACTTCCTGCTGGCTTTCCCCATTGACTTTGCTTGTTGGAAGCTGGCAGTGAAGGTCACAAATGGCGATTACATGACTGCAGGGATGCTGCAATGGTCGTTAAGTGTGAGGACTCATCTCTTTTTCAGCGTCATCGTAACTTTGAAAGATTGCTGAACGAATGGTCGGTAAGCAAAGACTGCCTGTATTATACTTTGCTTGCCAATCAGTATGGATTTATTTTTTTTCATTGGTAGAAGTTCCTGTGGTAGGGTAGGGAAGACTTTGCTATCACTTAAGCTTACTTATCTCCAAGATTGTCCACAGCATATGTATAATGCTGATGAAATACGGGCAGAGGTTCGATTGCACCATTCTGGCTGCTGTCCTGACATTTTTTGACCATAACCTGTGGGCACCTGTACTTATTTTTGCTCTTAAATTTGAAAACTTTACATTTGTGCTCCTTGGAATATTACACCATGGCTGCCCTACTTAAGCTTAACCATTTTCTCTTTTTACTTATCATTGTGTACATTCCTCCATTACAATTATGCTCTCAAGTTTATTTGGACTTGATTAGAATCATATATTGGTGGTCTACAAACCGAACACCCAGTACACCTATTATTTTGGCAGGTCAGTTTAGTGCAAGAATAACCACTAATGATAATTTTCTTTAAATGGTGGATTGCGTTTGCCCCAGATCTTCCATAAATTGAGCTTAAATCTAAATGACTATATGCCTGCCAATTTTCCAGCAGAATTTTCTCATTGGGCTGGCACCAAACCCCAATAGGTGATACAGCAATTCTGGAAATGTGGTTCCTTTTATTCAGTATTTTTTATAGACAGCCTGACAATGATTATTTTCTGAGAATTCCATTCAGCTCCCTGATACATCATTTTCTGATCTGAGACCCATTATCCAAGGGAAAGATGAACTTTGCCTTATTGGTATTACATGGTCACTGCAACAGGGAGAAATGATTACTGATTTTTTTTTATTTACAAACTTTATTTACAAATTACAAAAAAATTGACAAAACACCTAAATACACTAAAAAACCCCACGTAATTAATAAAACAATCTTTAAACTTAAAGAAAAAATGAAAGAAAGAAAGCAAGAAAGAGAAAGAGAAAGGGAGAGAAAGATAGCAAGAAAGAAAGCTTATCTTATGTTATACAGTACTTATCAATAATCACTGGTTTACTGTTACTTGCTAAGTGAGCAAAAATTCTTAGGGAACCTTGTCTCTGAAGCAGGCCAAGGGTGTATTGACGAGTCCTGGGCATGAAAAGACAACTACATCAGTCCCACCTGCCCCGTGGTGTATTTCTAAGTAGCCAATCTCCCCTTTAGACATGCAAGATATTTAAATTATACCATAGGTTGCAAACTGAGAAGGGCTCTAACATTAACTTGATTCAATATCTTGCCATCACCGGTTTTACAAGACAGATATAATACCATATACTGCCCAGTTATGCCCACGTGGCATAGGTATTATAGAATACATTGCTCGTTTACTTATTGCAGATTTTACAGAGATCTTAGAGCCCCTTTCCTTTCATTTATCCTTCCACAGTAAAATATTCAGAGCATCCTGATCACTTTTGTATGCAATTTTTTTATCTGACCACTTCAACTCCATCTCGCTGGATGTCACTGTTTTGCTCTAAAATGAGATATCCCCAGGTTGTCATAGGTTGCTGACTGAAATAAAATAGATGGACAGGAAATTTATTAAATATAAATGTATTAATTAAATGTATACGCCACCCAACTCCCAGCAACTCTGGGCAGTGGATCCTATTTCTGTGTAGATACTGCCAAAAAGATTTATGCTTTTTCATTGACCATATGCAAGTATTTGAGTTTTAGTCCTGCCAGTATTTTCTTTAGATTTTAATTATTATTTAGTTTTAGGGTTAGAGTTTTAATTTTGAAAGCAAGCACTCCCTTTGTCTTCTGGGTTGGGGATACCCTTCCAAGTGAAAGATTTTTCTCTTGCTACCTTGCCCTGAGGTTTTTCTTGAATGCTAACCAACCCAACATAAAAGTTGCATTTTAATGGACTTTGGGGGGGGGGGGAGATGGCTTATTTAGTGGTCAAAATCAGCAACACTGGCTTCTCTCTCTGAACAAGCCATCCATTAGAGCAAATAAGGCTTATGTTTTGGGTTTGTGAAAGAAGCCCAAGTTGTTTAGCCACTTTCATTTAGAGAGGACAAGTGGAAGTGATCCAGCAGCACGCAGATAATGAAGTCCAAAAACTGAATGATTCTGGCTTGACATAACCAAATACAGTCATCTTTGGGCACAACCAGATAACTGGAAGATGTGCGGAAGGGACTGGCGTATGATTGTAGAGTATATACATAAATGAGATAAGAAAGCCACTCCTGGGACCATTTTCTTCTTACGTTAAAGGAGTCATCTCATACATCCACTACCTTTTTATATTTATGCAAAAATCAGGTTTAACAAGAGGAGGATGAGAGTCAGGAAGACAGGAGATTTAGAACTTTCTCCAATAACTCTTTCTTGCCTATGAAATTCAGAGGTCAGTCAGTTTCTGCCGTGTTGTGTAGAGAAACCTGTACTAGATGCCTTTGTTAGTGTTGGAAGTTCCCCACATGCAACTGTGTCCTTGTTCTTTACAGTGGGCTAGAAAGGGAGAAAAGGGAATAAGTATGGGAAGTGCCATCTCTTGGAAATGCCTGGTCCTACAGAAACTCTCAATGTGCAGAGCGTACAAAGAGCTCTGGATGAAGGGCACCACCTTCAAAAGCTCCTCTAAGAAGAGATCTCATGATCTGTTTAGCTTCTGGCTTTCCTTTCAGTCACTTTCATGCAAATTTTTTTACTTCAATTACCAGGACTGGATCCCTTAAACACTCTACAAAATTAATGTTATTTTCTTGAAAATGGGAAGGGGGGGAGATATACAAAAATTGCTGAAATCCTTTAAATTTAGAAATTTATTTTGTTTAATACACAAGCTTTATAATAGCTTTAGTTTAAAAAAACAGAAACAAAACAAAACCCCCAATATGAACATGACAATATCCAAAGTTCAGGTCCTTCAGGTTTTCAGAAACCACAACTCTGAAAGTTACATACTATTCCAAAGGACTTCAACAAGACAAAAGAAAACTATGAATGGGGCAACAACATTCCACAAAACAAAAATTTATGCCAAATTTGGCTGAGACTGCTGATCACAGGAACTGTATTTTTTAAAAAGGGAAGGTGAAGAGGATAGGAGAGGGGGGAAAAAAAGGTACAAATTAAAAATCCAGTGTTCCAAATAAGTCTATCATACTATAATGAACCCACTGCCTTCTGTCAAGCAAGCTTATAAAGTAGGTACCATCCACAAATGTTATGCCAATTTTAAACATAAATTTAATAGGAAACACTGAGAAACCTGGGTGTTTGGCAAGTGTTCCTATATAGTTCTTTGACAACAGTGGCTTCCCAATGCCTACAAACCACAAAAGATCTGGAGCAAGAATTTACAATAGAAACGTAAGCATTTGTACTATGACATTTTAGAGGAACTGTGGAGTTTGCCAGGCCTGTTTTAAAACCATTGAACAGGAACAGGGATAGGGTAGGGGGAAAGAAATCCTTGCTGCATAAGAAAATTCTAGTGAAATCATGTCAACTGTCAACTAGTACACTGTGAATGCTTTTTTGTAATGAAGATCCATGCCCTTTTTTTTAATAAACATGGTGAACTTTAACCTAGCAATTATTACAACCAATGTTAAAGTCTAAAGCTCAAACACATTTTAGCAATTTGAAATTGAAATCTGAGTATAAACCAAATAAAATTTACATGAAATCAAATGCTGCTTCGTTCTAAGATGGTGGAGATGCCTGCGCCTTCCTCATCGAACGCAGAGCCTTCTCGCGCAGGTGCTTTTCCAAGTCATCCAGGTTATCTTCTGTTTCACTCTCAGTCTCCTTAACGCAATGGAAAGTCAGCAATTACTTCTATAGTCACAGAATATGAGCCTGGATTAGATTTGGCCACAGAGTAGAAACTCACATGAAACAAGCAGCCTAAAGAGCTGGGAGTTTTGCTACTAATTTCAACATCAGATACTCTAGAGCAGAATCTGGTAGGACATAATCTCTTTTGCACACTGGTTTTAAGGTTAAACCACCTAATGATTCCCAAATTATACAGCAGAGACCCTGAGACTATATGCAAACCATGTTCTAAGAAAAAGTGTTCTTAAATTCTGAGAAAGCACTAGCACAATAGATTTTTAATATGACCCCCAAATCCTTAAAACAGTAGCCATATCAATATTAAATCTTAAAGAAACATGAAGAAAAGCATGTAAGTTTATTCGAATGGATGCACAAATATTCACCTTTTTGGGTTCTACATTTTTTTCTTGATCTTCCTCTGCAGATGTTGTAAAAACAGCTGCTGCAGCAGCTACAGCAGCCTTTTCTTTCTTATGCTTTTTGTGCTTCTTGTGCTTCTTATCCTTTTTATGCTTCTTATCCTTCTTTTTCTTCTTCTTTTTACCACCTCCTTCCTGATCAGAATTCTGTGAGATCAAGCAGCCACTTAAAAAGATACACTCTAACAATTATACCTCCACCCCATACATTGCATGTAGCAATTCCAAGCTGAGTTCTGGACAGGTATCACTTTTGTTTAAGAAAATGCCCATTACTTTCACCTTGAAAATAACAGTTTGTCCATCGAATGCCCATGAAAGATCCAGTTACAGATTTATGCTCATTAACACCACAGGAATTTGGTCTGTCACACCAGTGGATATATCTGTGCATTTAACCACTAGTCATACAGCAGTTGAACAGGTTCACGCATTCCACAGTCTGAGCCCAACCAACCTTGCGTTATGGCTTACGCAGGATGTATAATCTCAGCTATTGTTCCAACCAATTAAAAGGATGGTTGGTCAAAGGAAGCCTCGCAACCTTACAAGAGAAGATACTCACTCGTACTGGTGACGGGCTTGGCGTCGGACTTTTGGCCTTCTTTGCAGGGGCTACTGGTGACCAATGAGCAGAAGGTGATGCGGATCGAGCAGGAGATGGAGGTGCCGGATGTTTCTTGGGTGGTGGTTCAGGGGACGCTGAAGCTGACCTAGATGAAGATCCCCTTCTCACAGAATGGGGACTTGGTGGGGAAGCCCTTAGAAAGTAGAGGCAAAATATAATATACTTTTTAGAAAAAGCAGCTACCCCAGAAGAGGCAAAGTCACTGTGGAAGAATCAAATCAGCTGTAAATTTTATATGGTTTACTGATTCCCAAGTGGAAAAGAGCTGTCTTTACTTCTGGTACCTATGATGCTGGAATGCCATACATCTTGACTGGGGAAACTCTGGCAACAAAGTAAGTGGGTTTTGGAAAGGGTCACCTCCTTTCTCCTTAAATTCTAATCAAGGCTTTCCCAATCAGGCAACTTCCAGATATCTTAAGACTGTTATCCTATAATCCCAGAGCAATTATAGTTGTAGCCCAACAATCTAAAACAGTGTTTCCCAAACTTGGCAACTTTAAGATATGTGGACTTCAACTTGCAACATTCCCCAGCCACACATTAAAGTTGCCAAGTTTGAAAAACAGAGATCTAGAACATACATGGCTCCCCTTTAGTTCCATGTGTATCACTTACTTCTTTGACTTCTTGGGCTCTGGAGTCCTCGAGACTCTCCTGATGGGCCTGGAGCTGGGAGATGGTGACTGCCTTCGCTGAGGTGATGAAGAAGGGCCCCTGCGCAGCAATGGGGGGCTTGTAGAGGTCCGTGAAGGCCTAGGCTGTGGGGATGGTGAATGCCGTTTGTTCTGCAGTGGGGAGCGGGTTTCACGGGTGGACCTGCTGGGGGGGGAGCTTTTCCTGTGCTTGGAAGATGCAGATGGCGAACGTCTCTTTGCAGGCGGAGAGCTTCTTTGTTTTGGTGGTGGAGACCGAGAGACTCTGAGCTTAGGCTGCGGAGAAGGAGAAGCCCTTCTTTTGGGAGGGGGAGATGCCGTTCGCCTCTTTGGAGGAGGGGAAGGAGAGTATCTCCTCTGTATGGGAGGAGAGTATCTTCTAGGTGTGGGAGAATGCCGGCGAGGGGGTGGTGAAGGAGACCTAAGAAGTGAGTGTAGGAAGGCTCATAAAAACATTGATCAAACTGCCAAGTTACAAAAGTTATCTAGGCAATTTACAAGATGAAGGAACAAAAATACAATAAAATAAAGGAATAGGTACATTTTTACTTAACTACAATTGCACTTAAGTATTGCAGCACAAACGTATCAAGAATCACCTGTTAAAACTTGTTCACTAAAATAATTTCTAAATGTTCCAACATATTTTTATCTTGTATTATAAAACTCAAAAGTTTTTGTGCTCTTAGTCATTCTGTATGCATTTTTAAGCATTTGTATAAATCATCCTGAAGGCATTGATTATTAGCAGTATTATAAAATGCTTCACCATTAATGAATGAATGAATGAAGTTTTAAATACATCACTTCACAAAAAGAAAATGTTACAATGCACATATTGATTCCCTAATTAGAGCACAAGCATTTTCTACAAATATGCAGCAACAGCATTACCTTCGTCGTGGGGGTGATGGTGACCTGCGACGCCTTGGAGGGGGGGCAGGAGAAGGAGAGCGCCGTCTTCTGGCTGGTGGTGGCGAGGGACTTCGCCTCCTCCTGCTAAAAGGAAAGAGGAAAATAAGCTTAAAAGGACAAGGGTGTGCTTAAGAGTCTACTGTTACTATCAAGCAGTGCTTTAGGACTACAAGCTCCACAAGCCCCAACCCACCAGAGTCAGTGGTCAGGAATCACAGCTGTAATCAAAGACATCTGGAAGCCGCCAGGTTGCCTGCCTCTGCTTTAGGAAGTGCCTGGCTTCTATGATGGGAAAACCTTACCCTTGCTGGTAAAGCAGAATTGCCTTATGCATGACTGCCTGAGTAGGCAATCCAGTATGTAAATGAAACTTGGGGACATATTTTTGGCAGTTATATAGTATAGAGCCTCTTCTACTGCCACAAGGGCCTTTCTTTCAGAATGGACAACCTACAATTGATTGGGGTTTGTGTGTGTGACAGGAGACAACATAATTCATTTTGTGCTATCCACGATGACTGACAATGTACTAAAAGCTGTACAGATAGTCCTCACTGAATGACCACTCGTTCAGCAACCATTCGAAGCTACAACAGCGCTGAACCAGGGGGACTTACACCCGGTCCTTGTATCTGTGGCTGTCACAGCATCCCCGTGATCACATGATTGCCGTTTGTGACCTTCACTGCCGGCTTCCGACAAGCAAAGTCAATGGGGAAGCCAGCAGGAGGTCACAAATGGTGACCACATGGCCACGGGATACTGCAACCATGTAGGATTCACCTACGGATGGCAACTGGGACTGCCATAACTGCCGTTCTAAGTCCATGTGGTCATGTGATGTTGCGTTTTACAACTATGTCGCTTAGCAACAGAATTGCCAGTCCCAATTACCATCGTTAAGCAAGGACTACCTTCACTGGCAACTGACCTACTCACATTGATGAGGGCCATCAGAATACTACTGAAACTCATACAGAAGCAACAGTTCTCCCCTTTGATATGATGTGAAATATCTCTACCAGAGCTACTGATCAACAAAGAAAATGTCTGGGTAACAGATACAACTATAAAGCTTTTAACCAGATATGTCCAATATCCTTTATCTCATTTCTATTTCAATGTGTATCACCTCTCATTAAACTAGCTTGATCTTTTGCCTTTAGAGAGAAGACAGATGTGACCAAGGACTGATTTACAGTCATTGATCTGTGCCAATTCACTTTTGCTTTTTCAACTTTGTGCCCTGTTTCCACACACTAGTATTCTTTGATTCCCCACTATGGTTCACTGCAGCATTTGTAAAATCTGAAATGCCTTCCATTTTTTTGTTCTTTTGGGTGAATAAAAAAAAGTTATTTAGCAATTTAACAGAATTATGTTTTTAAACTTCTGCCCAGTGACCAAATAAATAAATTATAGAAGCAATGAAGGCTAGGAGCTTAAGAAATATATTTTAATCACTTCTGCAATTTAGTAAATATTAAATAGATCAATTAATGGGTTGTCTAGTCTACTTTCATTACTCTATTCTAGTTTTCTTTTTCCCCCCGCAGCTATAGTTACAGCAGAGAAAGGTGAAGCAGATAGGAAACGCCCATCTTTTCCTCTAGCATTTATGGTATTTACTTATTTTACTATATTTTCTAGAAGTGGGAAATGTGGTTGTGGTTAAATGAGCAGTAAATGCTCCATTCTCAAAATCCACCAAAACTGAACTCTAATTAACAGAATGACCTGCTAACCAACCTTTTAACAATTGGTGACTGCCACCTCTTTCCCATCTGCATCCTGACAGCAGTGGAGGGAGGAAAAAATTGAGAGGTCAAGCATCCCAGAGATTCATTTGCAAGGATGAACTATCAGGCAAAAACTGATTAAGTTACAATATTCATTATGCACCCAGTGCATAATGGCCCATATCTGCACACAAAACATTCCTTCACTCATCAGGCAAATAGCTAATCCCTTTATGTTGCTGTCAAAACCATATCATAATGGATGAAACTGAGGTGAATGGAACTGAACCGTAAAAACTTCATGGCTAAAATGAAAGTAACAACTGGACATAGTGGCTGGGTTCATATCGTATGCTGATTCATGAAGTGGTTTGTTAGACTATGAACTCAGCCATTATGGTTTATAAACCATGGTTTTATGGTTTAACATGATACGTGAAGACAGTCTCTCATGTTTTAATAAACATGCCATAGGCAGAGAAACCATAGGTTAAGAGTGATGTGTGAATTCAGCCAGATGCTTTCAGAATGGGACAGGAACTGAATTAAACTGACTGCTATCAATTCAGAAATTCCACTAGCTTTTATTAGATGGTCAAGAAACCATTAGTAACAGAAATTAGCCTGGAGACACAAAAGGAAGTTACCGAGGAGAAGATTCTTTCTGCCACTTCCGTGGAGACGGAGATGGGCTGCGGGAATGTGAGTGCCGCCGTCGTCTACCCACTTCACCGTTCTTCACATTTGACTTTTTTGGCCGTTCCTCTTCAGAAGATGATGATGAGCCAGAATCTGAACCAGAATAAATAACTGTTATTAAAATTGTGATATAATTTTGGGGTACAGCAATATTTAAACTATTCTGTGCTACAGACTAGAAACAGAAAAGGAAGGAAGCAACTTTTTCAATTATTTATGCAGTTGCCCCACAGGTTCCAAATCAAGCAGGTCAAATTATATAGAAATTTAGTGAAGTATCGACATGTCGCTTTGATATACCATTTTGAAAGCACAGTGGAATGCTTTTGCCCATTTAAATCTTAATCTCGGCCTACCCTACAATTGTTTATTAGGTTTAGTGTTGTGAAACCACCCCCATCCTTTCAGGATTGTTAAAGTTCCTTGTCGTACAGATATTGTTATAGTGGGAAAGGAGAGGATCTGCATCCAGAACGGTTGGAAGGAAGGAAGGAAGGAAGGAAGGAAGGAAGGAAGGAAGGAAGGAAGGAAGGAAAGATCACAACTATGTTGCTTCTAATTTTCTCTTTGTATTTTTACTAGTTCAACAGGAACTTTCACACTCTTTGCTTCTTCAAAGAACCAAAACACTCAGCACTAACAGGCAACAGAGGAACGGAACACAACTTCCTCTTAGGCAGAAAACAACCAAGACTAGCATCAAATAAGAACTTTTACTCTCCACTGCCTAAGAAAGTAAAATATTGTATTCTTATGACGAAGTGCTTTAATGCATTCATATACATTTGGGAATCTTGTGAAATGAAGAAAGTTTTATTAGTACATTTCCCTCTATTCTTTTTTCTCCGCACCACTGTCCCTCACCTCTAAAAGCAACTTTGCTCACATCTAAGACTTAAAGTGAAATCAATGCATCAAGACACAAAAATCCCCAAGTCTTTGTCAAATTAGATTCTTCAATGGGAAAAAATGTTTTAAATCATAATTAGTATACCTGAGAAGAAACTCCAATAAATAATAATGAACTTATTTCAAGTACACATACATAAGAAGCATAAAATACTGTACCAGATGAAGACTGCTGGTTCTGCCTTCTGTACTGTCGTCTTTGCTGCACGGAATCTGCAGCTGCCATTTTACCACCTTTATCTTCTTCTAAATATCAGGCAAAAGAGAATTATATTTAAAGCCTGTTTTACATTAATACAGTTCTTTGAGACACAATACATAGAGACTGTGCTCTTCCTTTGCATACATTTTACAAAGTAATTTTGGTTCCTTTAGGCTTCTTGGCTGTGCAAATCAAATGATGACTGAGATCTGATTGCAACTTCTGTGTTGTTGAATCTTTCTTACTATAGATTGATTTTAATTAAATTGTGTTTGGAACACAATGGATATAAGGATCTAACTGATGAAATTCCAATAACTCTTTTTATTATCACAAATACTGGAAAATACAGCACAATTTTGAAACCTACCCGATTCTGACAATTCTACTTTTCTTGTTTTTGGTGCAGGCGAGGGAGATTCCCTCTTTTCAATACTTTTATGTTTAGGTGCTGAGAAGAAAAAAGTAAACAAAATTGTTAACTTGTTTATATCGTACTCATAATATGTGGAAGTATTCACGATCCTTATGCAAGCCATCTTATTAAAAATAATGAGGTGCTATTACTTATAATATTTAAGGGAAGATTTACATATTTAATCAGCTTCAGAAAAAAATGTGAGATATCCCAGCTAGCATTTATTAACATTCATAAAGGAATTTCTATATTGTTTCATAGTATAAAATTCTCAGAAGTGGTTTATAATTATAATTTCACAATAAGACCCCCCCCAAATAATAATCATCCTTCAAATCAGAAATATTAGGGTTAGGGTTTGGAAAGTTCTACCTAAAAGGAGGGCATTTAAAAATCAGTTGAAGCACCTCTTTTAGTATTTTGCACAGAAGCCTGCTGATTGTGGTGACGCATAAATCAAGTAACTACATCATTCAACAATGCAGAAAAGGTCTCATTTCCTGGGCAACTCCACGCAACAGGCTGCAGCCCAGAAAGGAGATCTTACTACAAAAATTGCAGGTATTTTTTTAAAGTAGGTAGCAGATAGTTAAGTACTTTAATACTGAAGCATCTGAAGCTAAAAATATTGTCAGAATGGCTTGGGATATTTTCAAATATACTTCAGATTACCCGAAGTCCTATTGGGAGAAACAGAGCTTCGGGCTTTTCTTGTACGATTAGACTGCTGTGGTGTCGGAGACCTGCGTGGTTTCGGGGGAGGACTGAGAGGTGGGGAGGGTCGGTGTCTTCGCCTCGGAGGACTCGCGGAAGGAGAAAGCCTGCGTGTTTTCCGAGGAGGGCTAGAAACAACTCTCTTAGGTGGCTTCTTTGGTGGAGATCGAGAACGTGAAGACGATGAGGATGAACTACTTCCTGATAATGATGCCGACGATCTCCTCCTTCTGCAAGATTAAAGTTGATATCAAATGTGCTCTAAGCATAGTCTTAAGGTTGTGTTGCCTTGCAGTTTCACAAACATTCTACTCACTCCTAATATGATCCTTCCAATAACAGAATGTTCATTTTCTACATTATACAGAACTATTGGTTGCATCACCTTATAGGTTAAATTTACTGTTTAGCAACAGTGAAAAGTTTCTGGAGTAAGAACTGGATAGTCTGGACTTCTAACTGGACTTACAAAATGTTTTTATTCTTGCCTGAAATCACTCAAAACAAGGGTACTGAAAAATAGCTGACTTTTTCCAAACATAAAACACCCAAACAGCTCAATACAGTCAGTAACTAAGCTGAATTTATCAGACTACACTTAAAGGAGGGCCTCTAGAATTCTGTGGCACAATTTGTGGCCAGTTCTGTTGCTCTCATCTACTTATTGACTCCACCTCTGGCTGCAGAATTCCCAAGGACCTGGGAGAAAAAACCCTACCTTGAACAATACAGGCAGTCCCAGGGTTAAGAACAACCAACTTACTGACAACTTGTACTTACGAATGGGCTGCCTGTTACTAAAAATGGCGGACATTGTTCTCCTTCCTTGAGCTGACAAACTGCTGAAGCCACGTGTTTTTAACACATAGCCAGTTTTCAGCAGTTCATGAAAACATGGCGTGGCTTCAGCAGTTTGTCAGTTCGAGAAGGAGAATGCCATCTGCCATTTTAAGTAATGGCAGCCCGTTTGTAAGTATGAGTTCCAACTTACATACAAATTCAAGTTAAAGACAGGCTTAGGAATGGAACTTGTTCTTAACTCAGGGACCGCCTGTACTCATTAGAAATAGCACCATACAACTATGAAACTATACGTATTACAAGTCTGCTAAGCAAATTCAACTGCTTGTTTGTCTGTCTCAGAATACATTGGTTTTACAAATGTCAGTATCGGCAGCAGCAGAAAATGGGCCCATGTGAGAGCAGTGGTTTTGAACAACATTGCAAAGAATCTTGGTGTTCTTCCTTGAGAGTCCTCCTGCCCAATGTATACGCACAAATATATTTCCAACTAAGGGACATGCAGAGGAATTCCTTGAAAGTAACATGGTGAATTAGAATGGAAAGCTATTACCTGAAAAAACTTGAGTATTTTGGTCTCCTTAATGTATTTGCTAAAAAGTAGGGGTCAATTTTATCAAGGATATAAAAAATCCAACCAGGAAACAACTTTCATTGTTTTTACAAAAGCTCATCTGCAGAGGTCTCAAACCCTACCCTCTTTCAACTAAACTAGTTTAGAAGTTAGTCTATCCTATGAAAAGCCTAGCAATTGCATATTCTGTTAAACTACTACTGTTAAAAAATGCAAGTAATGAAGAAAAACAAGGTTTCAATTTGTGAGATGACAATTTTTCATTATAGGTATTTATTTCATGGCCTTATTTCCCTGACAGGTTTGTGTTGCAAAGCGGACCTATTCCTATCAGGATTTTAAGCATGATTAGACTCATGAATGTTTTCAAGTCAAACTGAAAAGTTTTTTTCTATTATCTTCTCCCTGACACCCAAAGAGCTGAGTAGAAGCAACAAAAATTTAGTATAGCTTCCTCTAACCTGTTGTGTACCTGAACTACAACTCCTGGAACTGGAGCTAAGATCTAACAAAGATTCGGAGGGCACCAAAAGACTTTTAAATTTAGCCTTTCAACGTTAATGACTGTTGCCTCTAAACTCGAGAATTCTTACCGTCTCACAGGAGATCTGCTCCTTCTATGCCTCGGTGGAGGTGGAATACGTCTCGGTGGAGTTCTTCTCCGAGGAGATGGGCGCCTTCTTGGGCTAGGCCGCCTCCTTGGTGAATAAGACCTAATAGTACAAATGATAAAAATTCAGATACAGAACATATTACAGAACTCAAGATTTAATAAGTTTCCAAAAGAAAGGAGAGCAACTTGTGTCTGCCTACATGTCACAGCTACAAATTGGATACTCTGGATGTTTTCCCTGTTTCGCTGTAAAGCACAAAAGGGGAACTGCTTTAAAGGCAAGACTGGCATAAGTATGAAGACAGAAATTATAAAAGGATCCATGAAAGGATCATTTAAGCATAATGGATAAATACAAGCATTTTCATGGAAAACTAGTTTATAAGGCTTCATATATTTAATATTCTCAGTTATAATGATTAACAAGGTAAATACACTTATAATGGGTTAACAAGGTTAGATACAAGGTTAACTATTCTTAGAAAAAAACTGAACTATCTAACCTGGATCGTGATCTATGACGTCTTCTTGGTCTTGAATGAGATGGGGAACGTGATCGAGATTTTGATCTTGACCTAGATCGAGATGGAGATCTTGGACGAGCCTTCTCCTTTTCTTTTTCCCTCTCCCTTTCTTTTTTTGGAACTCTTTCTGGAGATATTTCCTTAGTATCCGGCAAGGGCTCAATTTTAGGGACTTTCAAGATATCACTGTTGAAATAAATACAATTCAAGACTGGATTATAATTCAAGGAAAAATCACAACCTTCATCTTAGTGATATGGGTTTCTATTTCTATTTCTTTTCTTTCTTCTTTAAAGAAAGGATGATATTTTCTTTAGGACACTTGAACATCCTGTAGAAGTAAATGAGGTTTCTGCTTTAGCTTTAGAAACGTTATTTCCATTTTTTTCTATTGTTGTCTGGCTATTTTCAAGCCACACTTAACAAGTTACAACAACAATGGAGTGAAACTATACTAACATCACACATTTCTTAAATAAATTCTGTTTTTTTTAACATAGGTTAAACTTATTTTCAAACCAGGAATATTAATGGAAAGTTAATATAACGCACACAATACCACTATATTAGGACACAATATGTTACAAAACAGGATACTTAGCTACTAATGTCTCAGAAGCTCTAAGGATAAAAAATTAAGTGCACATAACATCTAATTTCAGGTTTTAACATAATCAACATTACAAAACCAGGGAGAAAAAAGTAATAATCAGTGGTGATACCTGGTAGATGTGGCCTCCTGGATCAATGTTTCTTTTACTTTGACTGAAGGTTCTGGTTCAGGAGTCTCTTCCTTCTTTTCTGGTGCAGGAGTAACACTGCGACTTTTGGCTGCATGGTGGGGTGATCGAGAATGGCTATGTTTTCTCTCTTTTCTAACAGGAGATGAGCGTCTTCTAGGGGAAGGAGATCTTGATTTGCGCCTAAACAAATGTATATTTCGGGTTAGGGTTTTTTAACCCTAAAAAATATGCCTAATCCAACATGCATTCTGATTAAGAGCCTTTATCCCATTGACACAGCCACTCTTCTATTTTGACTGCTGACTGGACAGCTAAAAATGCATTTAGTAACCTTCTGGAGGCATTTAGTTTGTAACTGTAAGGACCAAAAATGGGATGGAGCAATGGCACACAGGTAGCTCCTTTCCTTCCCATCTGCCTGTGCTGAATGCTGTAGCTGGGGAAGCCTGAAAATACTTGGGCTGAAGGCACTCAAAGGCCATCACGAGTTGGACCCTGCCTTATCAGAGTTCCCAACACAGAAGCCTGTAAGTTTGTCCTCAACAGGCATAGCTCTGTAAAGGAACTGGGTGGCTGGATGCAGTCTATGTGGGCACACCCTTGTCCCTTTTCACGTGTTCAGCTAAATACCTCAGAAAGCAACGCAAGACACAAATATACTTCAATCACGACATTCAGGCAGCAAGTGTTAAGAGAGTATATTGGTTAAAAAAAGCTTAGGCACACAGTTGCTCTACCAACAGCTTCAAGACATGCTAAGAGTCAACATGCAAATAAATATTACCTTCTAGGGCTCCGAGAGCGGTCCCGCTTTTCCCTGTTCTCTTTATCTTCCTTGTCTCGCTTATCCTTGTCTTCATCTTGTTTCTTCATTGAAGCCAATTTTTCCTGTTCAATCTGAAACAACATCAACATTTTCTTAATTAAAAAGCACACACACACAAAAAAAAAAGCCGAATCCTACTCTATCTACTTACATACTGACAATGCCAGGCATTTATATATACCATTTTTAAAGAATGCAACTCTCTAGATTGGTCATGCTGGCTGCGGCTTCGGGAGTTGTAATTCAGCAACTTCTGGAGTGATTCAGAAAGTCTGGATTCCTTCCTCTTTTGTCATCCCTGTAATGACCCTGTGTCAGGAGATCTGATATTTACTGCTGAGCCCAGATTGGGAAGCTGGAATGGGCAATCTTTTTATTACCAGGACTCACACAACTTTATTGAAATTAATTTTTTTTAACTGTTATAATTCCAGTAGGAAAGTCAACATAATAAACACACTGAACTCTAGAACATGTGAAAAAGGACTGGAAGTTCTGCATCTGCCCTTGGCTATGGCATTTTGTTGTTGTTCTGCTCCCTGCGCTAGTATAAAAACAACCATACATTTGCCTCTGAATATGCTTGCCACCTTCTCTGTAACTTACAAGCCACACACAAGGGTATGACAGACTGCATTCAAATCTGAAGTCTCAACTTTAAATCCATCAGGTTCGGTAGATGTTTCTGCTACCAAATCAGATTACTTATCATAACATACTCCCTGAATAGGTAAAGAAGTGCCTTTGATTTTCTCTGTCAGAAGATTGGTGGGAATCATAACTGAAACTGACTGGTATAGATGACATCTCTGGATGACAGACAACACAAAGACAGTGTAGCAAGTATTAATTAGAAATAACTAATGGAGAGAGAGCATTTTGTTGTACTCTTAACATCTTATTATTAGTGCGTCCAAAAGTTTAAAGACAGAAATAATAGAAGGAAATTTGCCCTGCCCCATAAATTTTACTCAGCAAATTTTTAATTTTTAATTAAAAAAAATGATTATCATACAACCAAGAGAGTTAAGCACTTGGCTTCAAAAACTCATGACTAAAAACCATACAAAACCAAATTCCATTCTTCACAGCAGAAATGAGCACTGTTCAGCAGGCAATTTGGCTATCTTCTTGTAGCAGACTTTATGCATACAATACAAACTAATTGTTCACATTTCTTCACATGTTTTTGGTGCTCACATCTTTAAAAAATCTTTTTGGCAGTCAGTGTTTAGTAACTGAAAAATTCTAAGAAGATACTGCAGTTCAATAATTAGTATCTAAAGTAAATACTCTTTATCCACTTTATTCCCTTATATTTTCACCAAAATAATTATTACCAATTTTCAGATCATATACTAATTTCTCAAATAATTCTCCAGAGCTATTAATCATTCTTTGACCTTGGATTCAAACCCATAACCCAGACTTAACATTATCCCACCTGTCTCTGTTTTATTTCTTCTTTCTTTAGCTCCAGAAAAGCAGATGGAATACCAGCAATGTTTTCCTGTGCACTTAACAACAGCGGCCATAGTTCTCCCATGAATTCTCTTGCATTTTTCCCATTCAAAAATCCAGTCAAGTTGATTTGCATCATTTTGGAATCAGGATTCTGTAAAGAGATATGACAGGAAGAAATACAGGTTATTTGAAAAACCAAACCCAGACAAGTTATTTTTTATTTTGACTTAATCTTCTACCATCGACTAGGGCATATTATACTCATGTTCTTAGTTTTTTTTTAAAAACACAAAACTTTGCTTAAAGGTTGTTCAGTAACACAGTCCTAATAAATAACCAATATTCTCTTGCCTTACCATTACATTCAGAGTGGCCTGTTAATCCTTTGTGGATTTCATAAGAATGTTTGATCTGTACAGCCACTGAAACAGAGGGCCATGAATTTGCCATAGCAGCATCATAACAGATGGTGTACGTTTCTTCTAATTAACTTTCTAAACATTTTCCCCCAGCATTCTTTGGTACTGCTGCTTGAAAAATCTTTTTAAGTTATCCGTACAATGGACAGAAGCTGTACACTTAACATTACAGAATCATCATCTACAATATAACTGAAATCCTGCTAAGAAAACTGAAAAAGAATTTACGCATGCATTTTCTTACTTCCGTCAGTAAACTAAACTAAGCCTCCACTAACTAGTTTATGGAATGAAAGCTGCCATCGTTTTCTTAATGACAATTATGTTATGCCCACAAAGGATTAAGAGGTCAAATGTGGTTCACGGTACAGGTGGGCAATTTAGTTCTAAAGTTGTTGGTCAAAGCAACAAGGTCCATGTAACAAGCACAGCTCAACAGCACAAAGCAAGTACAGATTCCAGGTGTCTTCTTTTTCTTCTTGGAACTTTGGGGGGGGTTTGGAATCGCCAAGTCCCCTGTAGAGAAAGATGTTCCCTTGGCTTGCTTCCGACTCCCTACTGCAACTCAACCACCTTGAGTTTAATGTTATACCATTTATCTAAATTGCAAAAGACGAACAAGCAATAATGAGTACACAACCACAGAAAGGAAAAAAATGTTTTTTAAAAGTTCTAAAGTTCAAATCATGCTTTCTATGAAGGGGAATTAAAACTGCACACTTAGGTTTTTTATTATATTAATACATATTAGTAAGCTACTTCCTACCATAATCTCATACTTCATCTGATTCCCCTAAACCTGCTTCCCCAACTGAATTTCTATGAAAGTACATTAAGGATTCCAAATAGGGATACTTAAAAAAATAAAAACCTACATTCAAAATTACAGCATGGCTTTTTTTTAAAAAACGGCAATACCTTTCTCAGTTGAAATTTCAACTGTTCAGTCAAATCACAAAGATGAATTCTTTGGAAGAAAGATTGAGCATAAAGAATATTAGAACAAGAACATTTTGCCAATGGTTCAGAGAAACACTTTACTATCTCTTGGAATGCAGTGGCAGACTGTGTAAAATAAAAGACTGTGTTTATCATGAACGCAAATTCATTTACGCAGTTCATGCTATACAGTATGTCTGGTTATCGATTAGCTGTATTCCAGTGGTGCAGTCCAGCTCCGCTGATATCAGAGGGGTGCCTTGCCACTGATTTCAGTGAGAAACGGCTTGAACCTTTAAACTTTCTTTCTAAATTAAACTGAAGTGTAGTTTTACAATTATATAATAAGCCCACCATCCCAGCTGAACAAAGACATAGTTCTAAACAGAGTAGGTCTCCACTGAACGCCTCTTACCAATTTAGAACTGCACTTCATTCTTTATATTTAAAGTGATTTAATTCAAAACAATTTCAAGAGCAGTGTAAAGCTTTGCCCAATTTCTTTCTGTTGGATGCTTTGTCTGTCTTTGGTTCGGCCACTTTACACAACTCACCTCCAAACACACACTGCATCATCAAGGGAGTTGGTCAGAGCGACATTGGACACTCACTCTGCTGTGACCTAATAAGGTGATGGTGCTATACTTCAGACGCAAGGAATAACTTCCATTTTGGTTCAGGCCTTTTAAATCATAAATCACATCATCATTAGAAAATTGCTGTCAAAGTAGCTTAACACGTAACAGCAAAATCAACACATTAAGTCTGATTTTTCACCTCAGCAGTTTTGCATACTATGCACCTTCACTAAAACTGTCAACCTTAAAAAGTTTTACAAAGTGAATTATTCACAATATGCATTGCAACAAAATCCCTCCTAATTTCAACTGGTTTTTTGACAGAAAAATTGCAGTTTACACAGAATAATTATGCAATACATTTACATATATGGAAAAACAACCACAGCAAAATCATTACCTTCACTTCCAATTGATTGAATATAAATTCAATTACTACATCATCTTCAAATCCAAGGATTTCTGTTACTCTCTTTGTTATCCATGGCTTGATTACTTCCAGGTTTACCTTGCTCATGTCCACCTACAGAATAATGAGACAAACAATTTGAAGATAAGCTATCTTGCTTGATGCTGTAATTACTATTGTAAAACCTTTGCATCCTATAATATGCTCTCCAGATAAGATTCCCCTCCATAATTCTCACTCATGTTGAGAAATATAGAAGTCTAGCAATTTTGGAAGATACTGAGGCTTTCATTAACATACAGATAAAGAACAATACATATATATGCACAGTGCAGTGTTTCTCAACCTTAGCAACTTTAAGATGTGCTTAAAGATCTTAAAGTCGCCACGGTTGAGAAATGGTGGTATAGTGTATATGCCACATGTCAATCAATCAATCAATGTGGTTTCTACTTTTTTAGTAGCTTTCTTACTTATTACTGGAAGCCATTTATTAAAGATAATTTGCTGGAGCTGATTTTTAATGTAATCTAACTATCTGCAGTGATAAATAGAATTTTCCTAAACTGTAACAATTCTTCCAAAGGGTATTATCTGTAACTAACTGCAATTCCTGTGTAGGGAATCTCCACATTCCCATTGACTTCACTGTAATACAATCCCCTTCCTTTCTAATGTTTTAAATTAAAAATATTTTATTCTTTTGTTCTGAAGTGAGATGCTTTTATTCAGATGGTGGGATGTGATAACTGTGCTCTGATTTGAAGTGTCCCCAGCCACTCTTCCTCTGATCATCACCAGTTCATATGAGAAATGGGTATTTTGGTGGGGGAAAATATATGTGAGCTAACCTTGGGAGTTCAAACTTCACTTTTGCTCTATTCTCAGCTTCTTGGTAGTTACATGTCTCTGAAATACATCAATCGCCTTCTGTTATAGGGAATTTGGATTAGAGTGGATTTGAAACAAAACTGTTGCAAAGGAAATGGATGTATACACTGGAACTTGGACCTAATCTATCTTCTGCATCTAGTCATTCTGTTACAGCATGGCTCCAAAATTCCAAATAAGTCTCACTTGAACAGTTGCAGCTATAAGCTATCCATGCAAAGTCAAATACGTATTAAAAATAAAATAAATTCATTAAATATAACAGTATGAACGTACTTTCTTTTCAAGGCATTCTGCAAATTTCAGTTGCTTTAGTAGCTTCTTCTGTTTGTTGCTGAAGCGGTTGTCCTGTTCTGCACTTGTACCCTATAACAATAAAAAATTCAATTACACCTATTGTTTCAAGCTAAAACCTTGTCCTCAACTTCACTTTACTGATCCCAAAACACTTTTGATGAACTTCTGGCTTGTCAACTATAAGCTGTATCTTAAGAAAATCAGAACATCATACAGCCTCCTAGAAATCTAACATTTCTGAATTAACATGAGGTATCTGTAAAAAGCAAATCAAATATGGCTTAATTTCTTCGCAGCTTGTAGTGTCATTATCTTAACGTATTTATTGTATTTGTATCTACCACAATAAAAAGACTAAAGTACTGTTTTGGGGGGTTTTTTTGTTTTTTGTTTTGGTGCCTTCAAGTCAGTTTTTGACTCCTGGTGACTGCCTGGACAAGTCTCTGCAGTTTTCTTGGCAAAGTTTTTCAGAAGTGGTTTGCCACTGCCTCTTTTCTGAGAATGACTGTCCCAAGGTCACTCAGCTGGCTTCATGCCTAAGATGGGACTAGAACTCATGGTCTCCGGGTTTCTAGCCTGATACCTTAACCACTACACCAAACTGGCTCTCTAAAATAGCATTTAGCAGTAAGATATTAAAAGATAAAGATAAAAGCAATTACTCTGAAGATTTACAACATTATTAAAATGAGAAAATTGAAACAATAACTTATTAGAAGTTAGAGGTTCACTGTTCTGTTAAACTGGGATTTACTTTCAATAATTTGCAAACTAAGGAAAATAAGATCCGCATATATGAAAGAGTGAGGGGATATACATTGTAGAAACCAAATTTTCCTTTAGGTAAAGCTTAGGTGACTTGATGTAAATAATACATTTGCTTTTCATAGAATGAGTTTCACAGTTCAGATCTTAGACTTATTTGTTCTATTTTTAGTTGTTATTGTTCTTGCTTCAAAATTGATTTATTTAGCCAAACTTTTTCAGATTCGTAAAGCATGTTTAATCCATGCTTTCTTCTAAACTTTATTTTGGTTTTGAAATGTCTTAAGATTTAATTGGAAAGGAAAGCACCCACATTGTTTGGGCAGAGTTGTAGGGCAGGAAATGCCCAGTCCAGCATGCAGGGATTCCAGTAGGCTAAGCATGGGCCAACACTACTGCCATTCCAGGCCAACTGCCACTTACATAACATGAAATATACTGTTACATAATAACTCACTGTGGTCATATCTGACCAGTGACCTGCTTGGTATCCAGCCCCAGTACACATGCAAGAAAGGCTGCTGACCTTTTAGTATACATGTCACGGGTCAAGCACAAAGTATCACTGCCAGTAACAGGCAGACTGTAATCCCAGCATTTTGGGATTATTCACGTCTCTAAGCCTATTGATCTAGAAGGTAAACAGCAGTGCACTTTAGTACTATGTAAGAGTCACTGTCACAAACTAGCAATACCCCAGGTTGATTATCATTTATTCACAAGTTTTTCTCACAGTGCTCAAGGCAATCTATATGGGCATGCTTTTTAACTTCATGCCCACAAAGTGAGGTGGGGTTGAGTGCATCTGACTGGCCCAAAGACTCCTCACAAACTAGAGGTCACCAGTCCAATTTCAGTAATATTAACTGTTGTAATACAGTGGTAATACAGTCTTTTTAATTAATTAGCTTATACCAGCTTTCTCCAAACCCCAAAGACATTCTAACACATGTCTTCACACTTTATTTAGAGGATTTTCATTGAATGAATGTACTGATCTTCCACCTCTCACTTTGATTTCAGGGCTGTAAAATTTGGGATCCTGAACAAAGTTACTGTTTCTCTTCCCCATAAGGTTAATAACTTTCTGCAGTACTTACAAAAGAGAACTGGCCACATTCTAAGTTTTCACTGCAAACAAGCTGAGCTTGAAAGAACCCCTTCGAATTAGAAAACTATTCATTTGCAGATTCTGTCACACAATTTTCCCCACCGGTCAAAGAAATCAGAAAGGATCCCGCCCACAAAAAAAAATAATTATAAAAAATAAAAAAATTAAATCCATGAGGTTTCTGGAGTTAACCAGGATAGTTTTCTTATTACAAACAGGCAAACCTCTTGGCTTATCGGGCACGCTTAAACTCCCACGCAAATCATACAATAATGGTGTTAATCTTTGTAATAATAAATTGCAATGTGAAGCACGGAACTCGGGAATGTGTGTGCATGGCGGGGGTAAGAGAAGCACTAAGTAGGCGAGCCTCTCTCAACCTGGCCAGGACTGATGGATGCTGTAGTCCGCCCCGACAGGAGGGCGCCAGGTTGAGGAAGGCTGCTGCCGGAGGAGGAAAGCCCCGACAGGCCCCTCCGCTTCCTTCTCGCGAGGCCTCAAAATAATAATTCGCGCCAAAAGAGCGAAGAGGCCGCAAGAAAATGCACGGACGGAACCAAAGGGGACGGCGCTAGGCGGGCGGGAGGGGAACGCAGCACTTTCTCCTCAGTCCTCCTCCTCGGTTTCTACCGCGCGCTGAAGAGAGTCGCCGCCTCCGCCGCCATTTTCTCTGCTCGGCTCCTGGCAGGATCGCGGGGGAGGAAGGAAAGCAGCGAAACAGCTGCGCCGGCCACCCTGAGGAGACTGAGGACTCGCTTCGGACTGCTTGGAGAGCCTTCGGCACTCCGTCTCCGCTTCTCCGGTGCACCCGGCCCAGCTGGCCCCCATCCCTCCTCAGCACTTACGCGGAAAAAGCCTGCGTCCATCTTGACTCCTCCTGCCTGGCCTTAGAGAGCGCGGCTCCGTATCCCGGCGTGCACCGCGGCAAGGGCAGGCGCGCGCAAGCGCTCAAACGGCCTCCTCCCTCCTCGGCTTTACGGTGCCGCCCTCCTCCTTTCGCGCGGGAAGCGGAGGAGGGAAGCTCCGTGACGCGCCAGAAAAGAGGCGGGGCCCGAAGGGAAAGCGAAAGAGGCGGGAGGAAAGACAAGAGAAGGAAGATCCAGCCAACGATGGCTCGCGGGCTTCGTTTCCTGACGAATCGTACGCAGCGGAGGGGACGGGGTCGGGCGGTTCACCCAATCCAACGTCAGTAGGGGAGGGGTAGCCCAAAGAGCCTTTCGCGCGGGCTTGCGTCACAGCCCGCGATTGCTGTGAGAGGGAGGGTGATCGGTGTGTTGTTGCTATGGCTACCTTTAAGGAAGGGGCGCCGTTGAAGGGAATGGGGAGACTCGTATTGGTGCTGGATGGGCTGCGGAGCAATTGAGCTCCCAAAGCGAAGCAGGCAAACCTGTGAACCATGGTTAACGTAACCCTGGCTCGCTGAATTTACCCTATTACTCTAAGGCAGTGTTTCTCAAGCTTAGCAACTTTAAGACAAGTGGACTTCAACTCCCAGCATTCCCCAGCCAGCATGGCTGGCTGGGGAATGCTGGGAGTTGGAGTCCATACATCTTACAGTGTTGCTCTAAGGACAATGTGGTGGTCCTGATGACTGAATTAACCCAAGCTTTGCATTGGCATGAACCACAAGATAATTAAAACATCCACGTCCTTTTCCTGGGCACTTAATGCCTCACTCTTGCATAATTAGAAACTATAAATGAAGGTGGAACTAACTTGACTTCGATGGACTAAAACAAAACTTCCAAAGGTCTGACGTACCGTACGGCAAAAGCATTTGCAAGAGGGCGAAGGTGGTCGAGCTGAAAAGGCATATTCAAAAAAGGAAGCATGTGGGGGAAAAAAATCAAGAGGGAACACGAGTTAGCTGTCACAAGTTACAGAAATAAAGTGTACAGGCAGTTATTAGCACAAAAGATTTCGTCAATGCTTAAATCAAGCTAGGAATTGATCCGTATTTTAACTTTCAATAATCTATGCACATGTTAGGCGTTTTCCAATAAAAACTAAGACATTAGCCTGCAAATCGACAGA